TTCAAACAGCACCACTATTGATACCCCTGAGACATCTCCCACACAACTCCTATCACACTTCTCTCTGCCAACGCAGCAGGAGGTCGAGAACATCATCCGCAAATCTAAATCATCCACCTGCTCTTTAGATCCCCTCCCATCCCCTCTGCTCAAAACTCACCATCAATCCATTAGTCATCTCATAACCAAAATAATAGCCAGTTCGCTGGAAACGGGTACCGTCCCATCTACCCTTAAAACTGCCCTCATTAAACCCCTCCTAAAAAAAACCACCTTGGACCCTGAACCTCTGTCAAACTACAGACCCATTTCAAACCTCCCATTCATCTCCAAACTCCTAGAAAAAGTTGTTTCCACCCAGCTCCACAACCACCTTAAATGCAATAATCTGTATGAAAAATTCCAATCTGGTTTTCGCCCCTCCCACAGCACAGAAACAGCTCTCATCAGAGTCACCAGCGATCTGCTGATGGCCTCTGATTCCGGTTTCACGTCCCTCCTCATTCTTCTTGACCTGTCTGCTGCGTTTGACACAGTAGATCACCACATCCTCCTCCACCGCCTCCAGCATTTCATTGGTCTCTCTGGCACTGCCCTCCACTGGTTTCACTCCTACCTCACTGACAGGACCGAGTACGTGGCCCTGGGGGAGGCAAAATCCAGACCTCACACTGTCACCTGTGGGGTCCCCCAGGGCTCCGTGCTCGGCCCTACCCTGTTCACCATCTACATGCTCCCCCTTAGTTGTGTCGTCGGCAGGCATGGGGTCAACTTCCATTGCTATGCTGACGACACACAACTTTACATTAAAATGACTCCTCCCAGCTCCCCCGCCAACTCTGTCACCCGCCTCAGCTCCTGCCTGGAGGATATAAAGGCGTGGATGAGTCAAAACTTCCTGCAGCTTAATGCCTCAAAAACAGAGGCCATCCAAACTGGTACTCCTCATCAACTCCGTTCCTCTCCTCTCACCTCTGTTTCATTCTGTGGTCATACCATTCCCCTCTCTCCCTCTGTTACAAGCCTTGGGGTCAAGCTTGACCCCCACCTCTCCTTTGACAATCATGTCACCTCCATCTGCAAAACGTCCTTCTTTCACCTCCGTAATATCTCTAAACTCCGTCCCTCCCTATCCCTCCCTGCTGCAGAGAAGCTCGTCCACGCCTTCGTCTCCTCCAGGCTGGATTACTGCAACGCTCTCCTCGTCGGGATCTCTGGCAGGAGCCTTCAGAAGCTCCAGTATGTACAGAACAGCGCTGCCAGGGTCCTGATGAGGGTGAGGAAACACCAGCACATCACTCCCATCCTTCACACTTTACACTGGCTACCCATTCACGCCCGTATAGAGTACAAGATTCTTCTGCACACCCATCACTGTGTGCACGGTGCGGCCCCCATGTATCTCACTGAACTGCTCACACCACACACCTCTTCCCGGACCCGGTCAGGCCAACAGCACCGTCTGGCCCCACCCAGGACACGGCTAAAAACAATGGCCGACAGGGCCTTCGAAGCCGCAGCTCCCCGTCTGTGGAATGCCCTCCCAGACCACCTTAGGGCCCCACAGACGGTGGATTGTTTTAAGAAAGGACTAAAAACTTTCCTTTTTAGAAATTCCTACAAATGTTGATTTTAGATTTTCTTTAATAGGCTACGTATGCCTTTTAATGTATTGATTTTAATGACTGTCTTTTTACTCTGTTTTTAATGTTATGGTCTTTTAAACTTGTTTTGTAGCACTTTGAGATTTGAAATCAAATGTAAAGTGCATGATAAATAAAATTCATTATTATAATTACTTTAGCAATCGAGGGTTTCCTCATCAGTCTTGGTAGTAACACCAGAAATCATCACTGACTGTGATACATTTACACCAGATTGTGCAACAAAATCCATCTTTTATTGTTTTATTTATTTTAATTATTTTGCTCAATAAATGTTCAAAAATTTAAATGAGTAACCAAGAAAAATATATTCACACCGACAGTCTCCTGGCTAGCTCGCCACGTGAAACGCACATATGGCTAGGCGCCTGACTGCGGCCATAGATGTTAGAACGGATGTCAGATAGATTCGACTATGGAGCCTGTGGGTGAATAATTTACAAAGCAACAAGTAGTTGGTTTGAGTAAAGTCTGAAAGGAAAAAAAAAACAAGAAATAAGAAATGGAGTAAAGAGAGGGTAACAGTAGAGAAGCTGCAGAGAGGTCTGTTAAACTACAACTCTGCTTCCTGGTCTGCACCAGCGGCGCAACTACATATTTTTGAGGTGGATGCGAAAACACATAATCCCCCCCCCCCCCCCCCCCCCCCCCCGTACAGTAACCAATCTCGTTCAACTTTCTCTCCATTAGGCAGTAAACAAAAACAGTATCCTTTGGAAAAACACCTCTTACTCTTCTCTGCTCTTGGATATGGGCCATCAGAAACTTTGGGTGGGTCATTTTCAACCATGTAGCCTAAATATGTCCCCCATTTTTGTGTGGTAAAGACCATTCAGATGGATGTTCTGATAAAAGCCTTGTCTCAGCACTCTCCTCTGCAGCCCTCTGCTCCTCTCCCTCCTCATCATCTGAACCTCTATCCTCCTGTCCCTCTTCTTCATCATCTGAACCTCTATCCTCCTGTCCCCCTTCTTCATCATCTGGTCCTCTCTGCTCCTCTCCCTCATCTGCACCTTTCTGTTCCACATTCTCCTTTGTGGGGATTGACTCACCATGTTTGCCTGCATTAATTTTCCCAAAAAAGAACACAATGAGAGATGGTCATCAGAAATTCAAACCATTATGGTATAAATGTTTTTGCTGCCTCCCTAATGTATTTATTCCTACCTGATGTCCTCACTTGTCTCTTCTATCAGCAACCTCACGTCTGTCTCCTTCACCCCTTATCTGTGGCGTTCTCCACGAAGTCGGGACACGCAGCGCTGAGATGAAATGTCTTTAATGGAGGGAAGAGGAGCCCCCATGATCCTCTCTGCTGTTCTCACCTTCTTCCAGTCTGAGGCGCTGCAGCCTCCACACCACACAGTGAGACAGCTGCTCAGAACGCTCTCTATGGTGCTTCTGGAGAAGGTGGGGAGGATGGGGGGGGGGCAGGAAGTCCAAGCGCTTCTGGGCCCTTTGGACCAGTGAGGTGGTGTTTCCAGTCCAGGTGAGGGTGTCTGTGATGAATGTGGTGCTGCTGACCACCTCTACAGCTGAGCTGTTGATGAGCAGTGGAGCGTGGTTAGGCCGCTTCTTCCTGAAGTCCACCATGATCTCCTTGGTCTTCTCCACCTTCAGGATCAGGCTGTTATCTCTGCTCCACCAGCTGCTCCACCTCCTCTCTGTAGTCCAGGTCGTTGTCGTCTCTGATGAGGCCCACCACCGTGGTGTCGTCTGCAAACTTCACCATGTGATCGGTGGTGAACCTGGGGACGCAGTCGTGTGTCATCAGGGTGAACGGCAGGGGGCTCAGGACGCAGCCCTGAGGGGGGAGTATAAATCTGAGATGATGGTACTGCTGCTGAAGCTCCTCAGAAATGCTATTAGCTCCCAGAACAGCAGTGTGAAGTTCTGTATCCATTCTCTGCCTGCTTTCTGGGTCAACTGTAATGGTTGCTAGGTGACAGAACGTACGCAGATTGAGGGGTGGTGGAGGCTGTAGAATGTTGGACCCTTTGACATATATGTCTTTCCATCCGCTACCAGCCTTATCAACAAGGCCCAGAGACCCCCGTCACACTGACACTGTCTGTCTCCCCTTCCCCGTTCAGGAGCTCGAAGCTACACCAGTGTAGCATGTCCAGACCTCCTGCATTACATAAAGACACAATCTACTGTGTATAGCTCTAGATTCTGCATTATGTGTGTGTATTTATAAACCTGTATAAATGTGTTTGTGTTTATAGTAATAAATGCCATGCTCTCATGCTCTCAAATATATATTAATGTCTGAGTGGCTGTGCTTTGCAACATGCATCCATCCTATCAGAATATTCTATGACTCTTAATCCCACTAAGAATATTTAAATCAAACTGAACCATTAGTTTATTTTCCTGATCGAATGATGATGAAAGGTCAGCGCTCTGACATTTTCCCTCTGGAGAAACTACGGGAAATGATTAGGTCCAATCTTCTTCTCTCTGATGTTAGTGGTTCAGAGATGATATCTCTCCTATCCTAGCTTCTATTCATTGGTTTCCTGTTAAATCCAGAATAGATTTAAAAGAAAGTTAGAGTGGCTCAGGTTATCCTGATCTATCTCTATAGTTCTGCTGCTATAGGCTTAGACTGCTGGAGGACATAGGGACCCCTTTTTCATCATTCTGCTTCATTCTATCTCTATTCTCCCACTCTGCAGTATCTGTTAGTTCAATCTCTAACGTTCTGCTCTCTCTGCTTAGTGTGAGGGATTGCTGAAGAGTCAATGAGTCGATGCAATCAGCTGGTTTTCCTTAGATAGAAAACTTTGAATCAATCTGACTGGATGATCTGGTTGGTCTGGATCTATAAAGTGACTGAGATGACATTATGTGAATTGGAGCTATAGAAATAAACTGAATAGAATTGAATAATTGGTTTTATTCTTCAAGTGACAAACAAAATGAAAACAAACCTAAAAGTCTTTCTAACATGTTTTTCTTTTAGAAACCTTCCCAGTACTGTTTACATCTATAAACTGAAACAAAAAGATTAATCAGTTAATACCAGATAATGCAAATAATTTATTTTTCCATATTCTTTGACCATGAATGCAACAGTATAATTTCATATTAAAATTCTTTACTCATCTAAAAGGGAAGTGAAATGTTGGCTTAATGGTAGGACTTTGTTAGAGATGCTGTTAGTGTCTGTTTTTCTGGCTTCTTTGGTTTGGGGCTGATGTTGGATTGATCTGCAGAGCAAAGCATCCTTTAATGCTGCATTCATGGTAATCGGAGAAGGCAGGGTGCGTTCGCTGGCTGCTAAGGGGTCAGAGTTTCTGATGGAGCTCCTCCTCCTCCTCCTCCTCCTCCTCCTCTTCCGGTCTGCCTCCATCCTCCCGCAGCAGCTCGATGGGGAGCAGGGGGGAGGCTGAGATCTGGGTGATGGTGATGGAGGGCAGCAGAGAGCAGGTCCAGTGAGCCTCTTCAGGACCACGGACAGCGACCATGACGCGGATGCGCAGGAAGGCGGCCGTCGCGCTCCTCCTCTTCACCATCTTCATCTTCGGAACCATGATGGGACTCAGGACGCTGAAACCCAGCGACGGCTTCTCGGATCTGGCCCCAGGCATGGAGCGGTTCGGGGACAGGCCCGACAGGAAGCGGCTGGACGGGAAGGTCGCTCTGGCGTCGCCGGACCTGTTCCGCTCCGGCGGCAGCGACACCAAGGTGGTTTTCACCAAATCCGACCGAGATTCGAGCATCTTCTATGACGTCCACATCTTCTACTACCTGTGGTACGGCTCCCCCGCCATGGACAACAAGTACATCCACTGGGATCACCCGCTGGTGCCGCACTGGGACCCCAAGATCGCCGCCAGCCACGCGCAGGGGAGACACGCTCCTCCCGAGGACATCGCCTCGAGCTTCTACCCGGAGCTGGGCCCCTACAGCTCCAGGGACCCAAACGTTCTGGAGGCTCACATGGCCCAGATCGAGGAAGCTGCTTCAGGTAAACACTGAGGGACTGGGAATCCGCCCAGGCTGGCCCCCACCTCTGCTGGTCCACTGGTGGGGACAGGAGTATAGAACTATAGCGACCAGAATGGTCTATTGGATCTCTATGCTTCTCTTTAGTCATTTCATAGCACTTTAAAAATACCTAAATATACTGATAAAACGTGATGATTTAAAGAACCATTAAAAATGCTCCAAAGAGCAAAATGATGCGTTCAAAGCCAGTCTGCTAAATATTCAGAATAAACAAAAACAGCTTTTCTAAAAGTTGGTTATATCATAATTTAAAACTCTCCCGTCAATAAACTCCTCAATTAGAACTAAGAACATTAATAAACTAATGAGTGACTGATGGCAGAGAAGAACAGTCTAACTGATAAACTTACTATATAATAACATCATAGCTTAGCAGCCATGTTTAGCGTCATGCGTTCTTCTCTGTGGGGAGGGGCTGCCTAGTGGTTACAGCACAGAGGTTCTGAGTTCGAGTCCCACTCCCACAGCCTCCACTCTGGGTCCCTGAGTAAGACCCTTAACCCCACACTGCTCTCTGGGCGCCGCACAATGGCGGCCCACTGCTCCCTAAGGGGAGGGGTTAAATGCAGAGAGGGAATTTAGTTGCTCTGTTTCTGACAGCGGAATGAGAATAAAAGCTGGGAAAAAAGATATGTTAAGATAAGATGAGGCCAAATTAGCTCTAATGCTAACAAAGAGCTACAGCTGCTAGGTTCTCTGTCAGCTCATGATGCAAAGCAGAAGGAGAAACAAGACATTAGGAACCACAAAGGACTCAAGATGGAGACACCTTTGGTGTCCCATCCAGGATGATGTTAGAATTAGCAGAGCGTTAGCATTATCCACTGGAATTAAATGCAGTCATCTTTCCTGTTTCCTCAGATATTAGAGGACTGATCTATAGAACCGAAACAATATCGTCAGTTTCAATACCAGAGTTATTAGAGATGATATCCTACAAACCATCCATCCATCCATCCTCCATCCATCATGGATGAAGGATGGAGGATGGATGGATGAATAATAATGGATGGATGATGGATGGATGGATGGATGGATGAACACCAGCTGCATCCCAGCAGTCTCCAGAACCAGCATAGCTGTAGGTTCTTCCATCCTTCCTCCACCAGTGGATCCTCTGGGTACCTCAGCAGCGCCATCTATGACCTCCAGGCCAGAGGTGGAAGCCATGCCCACACCTGGAGCAGAGAGGGATCAGTGGATGGCTGAGTCCTTCTCTACCCCAGAGTGTCCAAAATGAACTTTGACCCATGGACCTGGAGCCAAGTAGACCACAGAGGCTGACATAGACCAGAGAACTAGTCTAGGGTTAGAACCTTGTTCCTGAACAGCACCTGAGGTGGAAATGTCCTGACATTGCTCAGATTCAGATGGAGGAGGTTCCTCCCAGTCTAACAAGCACCACCAGTGCCTCCAACATGATCTAAAGCCAACTCCAGGGGTCCACAGAGTGAAGATCTGGTTATCCAGCTCCAGGGGTCCACAGAGTGAAGATCTGATTATCCAGCTCCAGGGGTCCCTTGTAATGGATCTACCACCAGGAGAAAGGCATGGCATGGCCTGGGGGGCCTAATCTGATTTTGGAGTATTCTGATGTTACTATGGATACTATAAAATCCTTCCAGGTGACTAAGGGGTGTTTGACCTCTCTGATATTGCTTGACCTACAGGCCCCCAGCAGCCTGACAGACCTTCTTCTCTGGTCTCTTACTGTGAGTGTGCAGGAGTGCTGGTGTTGTCATGGTATCCCCCTGGGGTGGCAGATGATCATGGGGAGCCCACTGAGGACCTGGTTCCTGCTGTCCTGGACGCGGCCCAGAGGCACAGCATCAAGGTAACTGGTGAGACAACTGCTGTTTATAACTTTCTGACTGGATGATGATGGATGGATGGATGGATGGATGGATGGATGGATGGATGGATGATGGATGGATGATGGATGGATGGATGGATGGATGGATGATGGATGGATGATGGATGGATGGATGGATGGATGGATGCATGGATGATGAATAGATGGATGATGGATGCATGGATGATGAAGGATGCATGGATGGATGATGGATGGATGGATGATGGATGCATGGATGATGAATGGATGGATGATGAATGGATGGATGATGGATGCATGGATGATGGATGCATGGATGATGAATAGATGGATGATGGATGCATGGATGGATGATGGATGGATGGATGATTAATAGATGGATGATGGATGCATGGATGGATGATGGATGGATGGATGATTAATAGATGGATGATGGATGCATGGATGGATGATGGATGCATGGATGATGAATGGATGGATGATAAATGGATGGATGATGGATGCATGGATGATGAATGGATGGATGATGGATGCATGGATGATGAATAGATGGATGATGGATGCATGGATGGATGGATGGATGATGAATAGATGGATGATGGATGATGAATGGATGGATGGATGGATGATGGATGGATGGATGGATGATGAATAGATGGATGATGAATGATGGATGGATGGATGGATGGATGCATGGATGATGAATAGATGGATGGATGGATGGATGGATGGATGATGGATGGATGATGGATGGATGGATGGATGGATGATGGATGGATGATGGATGGATGGATGGATGGATGATGGATGGATGGATGATGGATGGATGGATGGTGATGGATGATGGATGGATGGATGCATGGATGGATGATGGATGGATGGATGATGGATGGATGGATGATGAATGGATGGATGATGAATGATGAATGGATGGATGGATGGATGATGAATGGATGGATGATGAATGGGTTGAATGGGATAAATACTGACAGGGTCATCATAGTGGGAGATTTTAACATCCATGCTGACATTGAAGGCGATAGCTTAAGAGCAGCCTTTAATGCTATCTTAGACACTATTGGCTTTGTTCAAAATGTGAATAGTCCCACACATTCTCATCTTCATACTTTGGATCTTGTGCTGACATACGGCATAGAATGTGAAGAAATAACAGTATTTCCTCACGACCCTGTCCTCTCTGACCACTTTCTAATAACCTTCAGGATTACTTTAACAGAGTTCTCCTCCCCCAAAAGAAGGTTCAATTTTAGTAGATCTTTATCAGATAGAGCAGTTATAAATTTTAAAGAATCTGCTTCACTTTCTCTCTCCTCTGTGTCACTGAGCAGTGCTGCAGAGTGCAAAAGCATAGCTTATTCCCCTTCACAGGTTGATGATTTTGTTGATGGGGTTGCTAGTTCTCTGCGTATTGCCTTAGACAACGCAGCTCCTTTGAAAATGAAAACCGTTAAAAATAGAAAGCTTGCTCCTTGGTTTAATGCAGAGCTGCGTACTTTGAAGCAAAATGCTAGGAAACTGGAGAGAAAATATCGCTCCACAGGCCTGCGAGAGTCCTTCCTAGTCTGGAAAAATGGTTTACTGCTGTATAAGAGGACCCTTTGTAAAGCAAGAGCAGCATACTTCTCCTCATTAATAGAGGAGAATAAGAATAATCCTAGATTTCTTTTTAATACAGTTGCCAAACTCACCCAGAACCATAGCTCTGTTGAACCGTCCATTCCACCTGCTCTTAGCAGCAATGATTTTATGGGATTCTTTATAAATAAGATTGATCTTATTAAACATAAGATCATAAGCACTCCTCTATCCGCGATTGTACCTGAGGTAGTCATGGAATCTGAACCGGGTTTAGACTGCTTTGATCCAGTTGAGGTTTCTTCCTGTTAAAAGGGAGTTTTTCCTCTCCACTGTCGCTACAAGCATGCTTAGTGTGAGGGAGTGTATTTGAGTCAATGAGTCAATGCAATCAACTGGTTTTCCTTAGATAGAAAACTTTGAATCAATCTGACTGTATGATCTGGTTGAACTGTAAAGTGCCTTGAGATGACATGTGTTGTGAATTTGGCGCTATATAAATAAACTGAAGTGAATTGAATTGGATGGATGGATTATGGATGGATGGATGATGAATGATGAATGGATGGATGATGGATGGATGGATGGATGGATGGATGATGAATGGATAGATGATGAATGATGAATGGATGGATGATGGATGCATGGATGATGGATGGATGATGGATGTCCAGCTGTTGCCCATGTAGACGGATGTCTTGTTGCTACAATGTCTTCTTCATGTGTCTTCATTCAGGTGGCCTTCCACATTCAGCCATACAAGGGACGGACGGACCAGAGCATGCATGACAACATCAAGTACATTATTGACAGGTAAGCTGGTTGTAGTCCAGTTGGGATTCTGGTAGAGGTTTTCTATAACCAGGGGTGGGGGGGTGGGTCTGATATTATCAGAACAAAAAAAGTAGATCTAGAACTTCTTAACTTCACTAAAGGATTTGGGGAAAGTTCTTGTGTGTCATAACTGAATGCAGTTTTTCTTCTGAACGTCAGACATTGATCAGGTCCATCTGTCTCCATCTGTCTCCATCTGTCTCCATCTTCCTCCTCAGATACGGGAAGCATGAAGCCTTCTACAGATTCAGGACCAGCACAGGGCAGATCCTGCCTCTGTTTTATGTCTATGACTCCTATCTCACTCCTCCTGACTCCTGGACAGAGCTTCTGACCCCCACGGGTTCCCAGAGCGTCAGAGGAACGCCGTACGATGGGGTGTTTGTTGCACTGGTGGTGGAGGAGCGCCACAAGCACGACATCCTTGCCAGCGGCTTCGACGGGATGTACACCTACTTCGCCTCCAACGGGTTCTCCTTCGGCTCGTCCCACCAGAACTGGAAAGCCATCAAGGCGTTCTGTGACACAAACAATCTGCTATTCATACCCAGCGTGGGTCCAGGGTACGTGGACACCGCAGTCCGACCGTGGAACAACCACAACACCAGGAACCGGGTCAACGGCCGTTACTATGAGACGTCCCTGCAGGCGGCGCTGTCTGTCAGACCCGAAATCGTAACCATTACCTCCTTCAACCAATGGCACGAAGGCACTCAGATAGAAAGGGCCGTGCCCAAGAAAACAGCGGAACGTTTATATCTGGACTACCTGCCAAACCAAGCAGACCATTATCTGCAGCTGACGCGCCAGTGGGCCCAGACCTTCAGCAGAGAGAAGGACAAGTGGCTGATGTGAATCTGGGAACCAGTTTGACTCTGCTGGTGACCCTGGCTATAGACCAACAGCTGCTCCTCAATCTTTCCTCTTTATCTGTTGTTTTCCTTCCTCTGAAATAAAGACTGTTACTTCCTGTCCTTTGGTCTGTTTACTGGCGGACGGTTCTACGTCCCACCTGAAGGGAAGCAGCTTCCTGTTCCTCAGCTGGCTCCTCCCACTATGAAGATAACGCCTGTAGGCTTTGGTCATGTTCAAGTCATCTTTTCTTGAAATAATTTGTTCTTGGATTGACGAGGTAAAAGAGACATTTTGCCAATGGAACAATTTACATTTAAAATCAGAAAACTAAATACTATCGTCTTATTTCAAGTGTATATTATCTAATGATCATATTTTAAGAGTAAAAATACTCATCTCATTTACCTACTCAAATTAAGGGTAGATTTTTACTTATTTCTAGATGTTTTTTTCCAGTGAACTTGTTCCGTACCTCAGTCCAATTGGCTGAGAGCAGGTGTATCTCCTCTAAAGGTCAGAAGAAAATCTCCATCAGGTTCCTCACTACTTGACAGACTGACGTTGGTGAAACGTTTCCTTCCTCACGCCTCTCATAGTGGTTTGTGGGAACGTTGGGTCCTTCCCCCTAACAGAAGCGGTCTAAATGGACCCGCCTGCAGCGGTGGAGGGTTGTGGGCTAGATTCTGACTTCTGCAGCCAAACCCAAACCCTGTACGGACTCACCTTTAGGCTCCACCAATCAGTATATTCCTGATCAGAGCCGACCTTTATTACAACATTCCAACATATGAAGAATTTTCCAGGGAGGTCCGGTGCGCTTCATCAGGTCAGGAAGCAGAAACCAACATGCAGAGTAACTGCTGCTAGCTGCTGATTGGTCAGGCTATTCAAATAGACCAATGAGCAGCTCTTAAAGAATGTGAGTAGATCCACACATTGGGCCTTATGCTGATATCTGGCATTGAATGTGAGGACATGACAGTACTCCCTCACAACCCTGACCACTTTATAAGAACCTTACTATAACAATTCTATTCAGTTTATTTCTATAGCTCCAATCCACATGTCATCTCAGGTCACTTTATAGATCCAGATCAACCAGATCATGCAGTCAGATTGATTCAAAGTTTTCTATCTAAGGAAAACAGCTTATTGCAGGAGGCTACAGAAACTTTTTAGCAGGGCCAGGCCACCTCCCTAGGAGAGGGAGAGAGGACACAAGGGAAAGGACACATATGGAGAGGAAGAATGGACACTAAAAAGATAGGAGGACACAAGGAGAACATTCTCGGAGCACTCATAGATTTCCTTAATTATCCAGATCTAGGGAAACAGAATTACAGCTGTAGACCCAGAGCAGAGCCTGAACCAGTTGGGGGTGTGGTACCATGGTACCTAGAGCCCTGAGACTGACCTCAGAACTATTTGAAGGGGAAGTTCTTCTGGGCTGGTTCTGAAGCACCGCTCCTCCAGCCAGATGGTCTTTGTCTTTAAATAAAAGCAAAACCCTGCTGGAGGCGAAGGCAGCCATTTTTTTTTTTATTAGAAAAATGAGGCTGGTTCTCAGTACGGACTTGTATCCTCGCCAAGTCAGTTCTTTAGAAGAACCCAGGAAAGTCTGGACTCGAGGAGAACTGGAGCACGCAGAATAAATCTGGGTCAGCTGGAAGAGAAGCGTACTGATGACATCACCACATTCAAAGCTAGTCTGGAGCTGCATTTCTCCTCCTGGTATCAATAATCTCTAGATTATAATAAATTAGGACTTTTTTTATGGGCTACTCAGTGGAGCAATGTATAGCACTGCTGCTTTGCAGGAAAAAAGGGTTCTGGGTTCAATTCCCGGCCCGGGGTCTTTAACCAGGGTGGGCTAACATTAAGCCTGGTTTATCCTCAGAAACCATGTCGTCTGCGTGTGTCGCAGTTAATGCTGATATGCCCCGCCCCTTCCTTGACACTCACCTCTCCAAAATTGTAGGTGACCGCAGACAGGAGGCCTCTGATTGGTCAATTCTCCATCCGCTCTACTCTATATGTATTTCCTGTTTGGTTCCTTACCGCCTTGTTCTGTTTGTCTGACCGCCATGTTGGAAAACGACTGGTGAAGATGGAGCAGCTAGCAGAGCGAGGTGAGAACGCTGGGAGCCTTTTCCCACCTGGATCTCCGCTCTTTTTGGCCCTCATGTCCCTCCGTTGTCGCACAAACTTGCCCCCACTTCCTCACCACCTCGGCCGTATCTAGACCCACAGCTAGTTCCTGATTGGCCCTCTGGCGTTGTGGCGTGGAATAACAGCGCAGACCACGCTTCCATATGGGGCAGAAATAGAAAATATCTGCGACACGCTGCTGAGGAAGAACTTTAACTTAACGCTCTGAGCTCTGTGAGCGCTAACCTGGAAGCTGCTGCCGCAGTGCATGCTGGGACAGCTGTCAGTCTGGAGAACGGACAAGTCTGCTCTGATGCATGCTGGGTAAAGAGTGAGGGGCTGTTCTCGGTCTGCTGTTCCAGGCTGAATGCGTAGTTACACGTACCGACCGTCAGGAACAAAGTTTTCTATTTTTTTCTAAAGGAATGAAGAAAATGTTCCCGACGATCCGAGCTTCATTTTCCATTCACAGGTCCGCCTGGATGCTTCTGCTTTCCTTCGTTTCCAGGAGGGGTGGTGGAACAGCGCCCCCTGGCTGTAGACCTGATCTATGGCTGCTTCAGAAGCACAGGAGTAAAGTGAGGGTTTGATATGAAGTCTGGATCAGAACCTCTGGATCCACTTCCAGGAACAGAGCAGCCACAGAAAGACAGAGACTAAAGTCCTCAATTTATTTCAATCATTTTACAAACTATAAAAGAGGAGGAAGAGGAGGAGGAAGAGGAGGAGGAGGAAGAGGAGTTCTTCTTCCAGCCAAACATCAGGAATAGAACCAAAACACATAGAGAAGAACCGGGTCCTACAGCAGCCCCTGTCTCTTCAGGTCCTCATACGTCTTCTTGTTGACCACATTTCCAATGGAGTCCTCATACTCCTCCTGAGGGGACAGCAGCAATGAGACATGGGGACAGACAGTAGAGTCCAACAGGTCCTGGTCTCAACGTTAGCTCACCTCGGTGTCTGGCTGCCACCGCTCCAACGCCTTCTGGGACTTCAGCTTGGCCCACACTGAGGAGGACAAACAGAAGCTCAGGACACTGGTCCACAGAGACGGACGCTGCTGCTGGGAGAGGGACTTACAGGAGACGGCGTCCTCTATCTGCGTGACGTTAGCAAAGTGAGCCGTGTTGGGGATTCCCAGACAGCGCATCCCGTGTGCGTGGCGCCACTCCTGGAAGGGAACCACGAGACGTTAGTCCTCTAGGTCTGACGGCGTCCAATCAGGGAGACACTGTCCCCCAGAGGGAGAGAAGAGGAGGCCGTCCCCCAGAGGGAGAGAGGGAGGAGGCCGTCCCCCAGAGGGAGAGAGGGAGGAGGCCGTCCCCCAGAGGGAGAGAGGGAGGAGGCCGTCCCCCAGAGGGAGAGAGGGAGGAGGCCGTCCCCCAGAGGGAGAGAAGAGGAGGCCGTCCCCCAGAGGGAGAGAAGAGGAGGCCGTCCCCCAGAGGGAGAGAGGGAGGAGGCCGTCCCCCAGAGGGAGAGAGGGAGGAGGCCGTCCCCCAGAGGGAGAAAAGAGGAGGCCGTCCCCCAGAGGGAGAAAAGAGGAGGCCGTCCCCCAGAGGGAGAGAGGGAGGAGGCCGTCCCCCAGAGGGAGAGAGGGAGGAGGCCGTCCCCCAGAGGGAGAGAGGGAGGAGGCCGTCCCCCAGAGGGAGAAAAGAGGAGGCCGTCCCCCAGAGGGAGAGAGGGAGGAGGCCGTCCCCCAGAGGGAGAAAAGAGGAGGCCGTCCCCCAGAGGGAGAGAGGGAGGAGGCCGTCCCCCAGAGGGAGAGAGGGAGGAGGCCGTCCCCCAGAGGGAGAGAGGGAGGAGGCCGTCCCCCAGAGGGAGAGAGGGAGGAGGCCGTCCCCCAGAGGGAGAGAGGGAGGAGGCCGTCCCCCAGAGGGAGAGAGGGAGGAGGCCGTCCCCCAGAGGGAGAGAAGAGGAGGCCGTCCCCCAGAGGGAGAGAGGGAGGAGGCCGTCCCCCAGAGGGAGAAAAGAGGAGGCCGTCCCCCAGAGGGAGAGAGGGAGGAGGCCGTCCCCCAGAGGGAGAGAGGGAGGAGGCCGTCCCCCAGAGGGAGAGAGGGAGGAGGCCGTCCCCCAGAGGGAGAGAGGGAGGAGGCCGTCCCCCAGAGGGAGAGAAGAGGAGGCCGTCCCCCAGAGGGAGAGAGGGAGGAGGCCGTCCCCCAGAGGGAGAAAAGAGGAGGCCGTCCCCCAGAGGGAGAGAGGGAGGAGGCCGTCCCCTAGAGGGAGAGAGGGAGGAGGCCGTCCCCCAGAGGGAGAGAAGAGGAGGCCGTCCCCCAGAGGGAGAGAGGGAGGAGGCCGTCCCCCAGAGGGAGAAAAGAGGAGGCCGTCCCCCAGAGGGAGAGAGGGAGGAGGCCGTCCCCCAGAGGGAGAGAGGGAGGAGGCCGTCCCCCAGAGGGAGAGAGGGAGGAGGCCGTCCCCCAGAGGGAGAGAGGGAGGAGGCCGTCCCCCAGAGGGAGAAAAGAGGAGGCCGTCCCCCAGAGGGAGAGAGGGAGGAGGCCGTCCCCCAGAGGGAGAGAGGGAGGAGGCCGTCCCCCAGAGGGAGAAAAGAGGAGGCCGTCCCCCAGAGGGAGAGAGGGAGGAGGCCGTCCCCCAGAGGGAGAGAGGGAGGAGGCCGTCCCCCAGAGGGAGAAAAGAGGAGGCCGTCCCCCAGAGGGAGAGAGGGAGGAGGCCGTCCCCCAGAGGGAGAGAGGGAGGAGGCCGTCCCCCAGAGGGAGAGAGGGAGGAGGCCGTCCCCCAGAGGGAGAAAAGAGGAGGCCGTCCCCCAGAGGTAGAGAGGGAGGAGGCCATCCCCCAGAGGGAGAAAAGAGGATGCCGTCCCCCAGAAGGAGGGAGGGAGGAGGCCGTCCCCCAGAGGGAGAGAGGGAGGAGGCCGTCCCCCAGAGGGAGAGAAGAGGAGGTTCCTGTTGACATACCGCGAAGTGTCTCTGGAAGGCCTTGGGTCCTCGGTAGGTGTAGTTCCCACAGATCTCACAGTTGTAGTTGATGTTGAGGCCGTGGAGCTTGTAGAGCCAGTAGGGGATGGGCTGCAGAGAGAACCGGGTCAGAACCAGAACAGAACGGACCTCTGGAAGGTTCTACCTCTACTGAGCTGAAACAAGGAGCACTCAATGATTTGATCCGAAACGTTTCTGAAAGCAGAACGTTTGCTGAGCTAGGATAGAAATATGGTGACTAATGCTGCGTTCACACCGGGGGCAGCTGGCGCGACAGAAGCAGCGAGTTTACATGCAAAGTCAATGGTTGACGCGCGTCAAGGCGGAGCAAAAGGTCCCGCGGCGCGTTTCGAGCAGCAGGCGCAGCGCGTCTGAGCAGCTGAAGCAGCGCGTCGTGCGCGTTTTGGCATCTGACGTGCGTGACGCGCCGCAAACGCGCTGCTGCTCGAGATGGAAAAATTAAGTTTTTGCTGCTCGACGCGCCGCGTCAACCAATCAGAGAAGCTGATCTGGGAGCTGGCTGGGAGAGAGACACAGCGCTGATGATACAGACCGCTCTGATCACTTCTCTTAAACAGTTTATTAAAGCATAATTAACCCAAAATATATACATCTGCCGGCAGAATATGTTCGCTTTTATTATTCTGGTGCCTGCAGATCGGATTATTTAGATGAAAAACACCTACCAGCTGCCGCGGTGAACCGCGAGGAGGCGACCCGGCCAGAGGCTGCTGATGAAGGGATTCCTGCTGTCGGCGCACCGCTGGTATGTGGGGGTCTGAGCGGCTCCGACAGAAATAATATTGTAAGGCAGGACGATAATCTGAATGAACTGACGGCACTGATTACGTTTTCAGGTGTATTTTCTCACTTAAACACATATTAAAACTACTTTATTCCCACTGATCACAGCAAATATAGCTGCAAGGCAGAGAAAGGATAGTGAAGCTCCGCCCAACGCGCGTCAGACACACTTTTGGACCGCGCAGCCAGAGCAGCAAAGCTGCTTCAGCCGCGCGTCAGAACTAACTGGTACAAGCAGCAAAAATGAAGCAGCAGACGCGATTTTGCTGCTTTTGCTGCCCCCGGTGTGAACGCAGCATAAGGGTGTGCAAAATAATCGTCATGACGATGCATGTGATTCTAATTTTTGTGATCTACTGCATCGATTCTTGAAGACAAGAATCGATTATTAAAAAACAAAAAAATGAACAATTAAAATACATTAATGGTTGGCGCACATCAGCCAAACCAAGTGGAATACAACTTCCAGTCCAGCAGATGTCGCTGCGGATGTGTTGACGCCTGCTGCTTTGTGTCACAAGCATGTCCGGCCGCGGGATACTGAGACGAGTCATTCGTAAACAAAATATGGAGGAGACTGAGAAAATTCGCCCCGCTTGGATGCATTTGGGCTTTAAAAACAAAGAAGGTAAAAATGAAATTGATGCACGTAATTTGCAAAAGGACCACTGAGGCCATGTAAACGGCTCTGATTATCCTTATTTTGTTATTTTAAGTTTTATGAATCCTAAGATTTTTTTGTCAGTGTGTCCACGCCAGTAATAGTAATATTTCTGTCCAGTATTTGTTTCCATGGCAACGCCTCCAAAAGTCATTTCAATAAATACAGCTATGTATGAATTCAGTTGCTTTCAGTTATGTATCAATTGAAGACACGATCCAGATCACACCCAGCCAGTCAGCCACTGGTAAGGGCTGGATCTTTTTCTTACAGTGTTCAGGGAAAATATCGCAACGCATCGCAATATTTCAAGTATCGTGATGCATCGTGATAGAATGGCATCGTGGCATGTGAATCGTGATTTGAATCGAATCATGACTTCTTTGCCAAGAGCCACTCCTAATGGTGACCAGATCTGCACTGAAACAGATTAGCTGAGATGCTATTGAGGGACAGACGACGCTCAGATCCACCGCTAACCACTGCTTCCTTCCACCAACCTGCCCTTCCCTCTGCCTACACCTCCCAGAATGCTGTGGGGTTCTGGAGCAGAGCTCAGTGGACCCGCCCCCTCCTCTGGACCCGCCCCCTCCCTCGGACCCACCTTGCCATCCCAGCCCAGCGGCAGGTTCTTTGGGTTGTAGATGATCTCGTTGTCTTCATCTTCACTCTCGCTCTCACTCAGCTGCTCCTCCTCCTCCTCCTCACGCTCCTCCCCCGTCCTGGCCTGCTTCCTCTGCACGTTCTCATGGGTTAGCTGCCTTTGTTCCTGGAACCACCAGCACCACAGAACCATGAGGCACTGGTACCAGAAGGACCAGGACCGGGACCAGAAGGCCGACTCACCCCCAGAACCTCCACGTACTCGTAGACCTGAGCCTCCAGGAAGGCCGTCTCTCTGTTCCGCTCCGTGTCTCTGAGGAGGAAGACAGGAAGCGTTACGGCGGCCCGGCCCACAAATCAGAACCATCAGAACCTGACCTACTTTTTGGGCCCTTTGGCTTTGGGGTTCTTGGCGAACAGAGCCTGGTCCAGGGCCTCCAGGGACCGGCCCTTGGTGCTGAACAGCCTCTGAGCTCTCTCCTCCAGAGTCCTGATCCAAACACAGACAGAACAGCAGTGACCATCAGAACCACAACCAGAAGGTTCCTCTGAGGGAGCTGGAACCTTCAGAACCTCAGGGTTCTGCTTGTCAAACCGGATCAGTGGCCGGTACGGGCCGGTTCTATGGGCCCGTCCAGAACCGGCAGCCTTACCCTCCACATTTCAGACCCAGAGCCATCAGAGCAGACTTCAGCCGGTCCAGACCCAGAGAGGCCAGCTCCTGTGGGACAGCAGAACCCAGAGTTAGAGGCCGATCCATTTGGGCCCGATAAAGACGGAGCGGCAGAACTTTGGATCACCTCCCAGGAGGAGAACGCAGACAGGTCCAGGTGAGCTCCAGCATGGGTCAGAGCGCTGCTGGTCTCTTTCTGCAACAGGAACAGAAGTCATGGAGACACCGGATCAGAACCACCCACCCCCATTTGGACCGGGCCGGGTCTTACCGGCCAGCCTGGGAACGTCCCGTTCTCCCACTTCTTCTCAAAGTCCAGCAGAACTTTCCCATAGAGCTCGTTCTGGTCCAGCAGAGGTTTGACCCGGTCCGTGTAGTCCTGCAGGTACTCCAGCAGCATCTCCAGGTACCTGCAATCCACAAGTTAGCAGCGGACCAGAACCAGGACCAGGACCAGAACCAGAACAGGACCAGCACCAGAACCAGGACCTACTTCTTGTACTCTGCGTTCTTGCGGTCCTTGGGGATGTCGAAGAGCTGGTCGAAGGAGGACAGGTAGCTGATGTAGTCCAGTTTCTGGGGACACAGGATGCAGTCAGTGACCCGACCCGACCCGACCCGCTAACAGAACCAGCAGCGCAGCATCCTACCTCCATCCCCTTCAGGTTGATGTACTTCAGGTAGCAGTCGTGGAGGTCCAGGTAGCGGCCGTATCCCTCCTCATCAGTGAAGTCCACCATGTCTGAGGAAGGAAAAGGAACCGGCTCAGTCTGGTTCTACAGAACCCACTCCCACAACCAGAACTCCCAGGTCCGACCTCAGCCCGGCCCCGAACCCGCCCATCTGCAGGATGCTGAATGGAACCAGAACCTTTCTAAGTTCTGGTTCTACTCTTCATCTAAACCACAGTCTGGTTCTGGTTCCAATCAGAACTCAGCCTCAGAGGAAACAGACCCGACGCAAAGAAGAAGAACCTTCCTGTCAGGCCGCTTCCGCCTGCGGATCATGGAGCGGTCACAACCTGCAGACGGCTAAGGTTCTACCGGGCCCTGAGCCGGGCCCCTGGACTCTGGGCCCCGGGCCTCAGACGGGAGGGAGGAGCCAGCAGCTGCATGATGGCAGAAGAAGGGAGGTTCAGTGGCACCCTGCAGCTGCAGCCTCTGGAGCAGACGACTGCGCAGCTCAGGAAACACAGACACTCCTACAAGCTGTTGGACGGAGGAGGACAAACTAGGACCACCGCTAAGGCTCTGGATGAAACCACTCAGCCCTGAGGACAGAGAGACAGAGGACAGAGAGAGACAGAGAGACAGAGGACAGCAGGTGGACAGCAGGTGGACAGCAGGTCTTACTCTGCGCCTCCTCGCTGGGGTTGTCTCTGGCCTTCATCAGCTCCTCAAACTCTGCAGACATGGGGATGGAAATCTGCAGAGAGGAGAGCAGAACCATCAGAGACTCACTGACAGGCTTTGCTGTTGGCAGGCAGCTCTGACCCGGTCCGGTCTGACCCGGTTCGGTCCGGTGTGACCCGGTTCGGTCCGGTGTGACCCGGTCTGGTCCTCCTACCTCGTTGGGATGCTTGCGGTGGAACTCCTTGATGTGCTTCAGTCGGTTGTAGAACTCTGCAAACTCGTTTGGTCCAGAAATGGCGGCCAGCTCGTCTCTCCGCATCCTGATGATAGAAACGTTAATAAACCAGGATCGGACCAGAACCCGCCGCTCTGAGCCCTGGTTCTGGGACGTGATAACGACATCATCCAGAACCTTTGCAGAAACACTCACCCGTCTTTGTCCTCATAGGAGTCTCTCAGGTTGGCGCTGACCTCCATGTACCTCTGTGAGGAGACAAGCATAGGTCAGATCAGAACGGACCCTGGAGAACCAGAACCAGAACCCAACCACACCCCCACTGTTCACCCGCTGCAAAGATGGCGCTTCCTTCCTACCAGCTGATGGACCCAGAGGCGTTTTCAGCCTGTTTTATGGCTGCAACCCTCATTTCATTCAAAGCTCCTAAAATATAATTTCATTTTTTTTATACTTTTTTTACAATCAAACACAAACAAAACAGAAAAATGACATTTAAAAACTTTACAGTATTTGGTTATTTAGCCGTTATGTTCTGGTTCATCAGAAATAATAATAAACAAGTAAACAACCTGATGGAGCTCCTTCACTAAAACGCTGCATTCAGGTGTTTCTGAAATAATCCGTCAGATTTCTGCACCTATTGATGGTGAAATGTTCACCAGCATGGTGCTCTAATGGTGAGTTTGATTTTCTATAAAACCACAACTCAATAGCAATATTTCAATTTACTCAATCATTAGAAAATCCTATTTAAATTTATGATCCAGTTTCTGATTGCCGGTCTAAAGAGGGGCGGAGCAGAGGAGCCAGGTGTGTGCAAAGGTGAAAGGTCAGGAAAAAGCAGGTAAGAAAACGGAGGAAATAACAGCAGATAAACTGACACTTCATTCAGTCCATTGTTCTGTGTTTATCATGGAAGTAATTTAGTCTCATCAGGGAACGATGGAGGCCGTCATTAGAAAAACCCAAAAATCTGAGTAGATCTGGTCAGACAGCTCTCTGGGTGCTCAGCCCCCCTAAACCTCTGATCCTAGAACCGCCCCTGCTCAGACCCATACCAGAGGAGCAGAACCAGAGGAGCAGAACCAGAGGAGCAGAACCAGAGGAGCAGGAGCAGAGGAGCAGAACCAGAGGAGCAGAACCAGAGGAGCAGGAGCAGAGGAGTTGAACCAGAGGAGCAGGAGCAGAAGAAGTGAGGAGAGAGTCCAGAATTCAGGGTTAGAAAGTTAGATCAACTTTATATCCAGGCTTTCAGCAGCAGAATAGATCCTGTTTCCTCTCACTGGGAGCAGATCTGATTATCGCTGCCATCCATCCATCCATCCATCCATCATCCATCCATCGTCCATCCATCCATCCATCATCCATCCATCATCCATCCATCCATCCATCATCCATCCATCCATCATCCATCCATCGTCCATCCATCCATCCATCATCCATCCATCGTCCATCCATCCATCCATCCATCCATCCATCATCCATCCATCGTCCATCCATCCATCCATCATCCATCCATCATCCATCCATCCATCCATCCATCCATCCATCCATCATCCATCCATCGTCCATCCATCCATCCATCATCCATCCATCGTCCATCCATCCATCATCCATCCATCCATCCATCATCCATCCATCCATTAACCCATCCATCCATCCATCCATCCATCATCCATCCATCGTCCATCCATCCATCCATCATCCATCCATCGTCCATCCATCCATCATCCATCCATCATCCATCCATCCATTAACCCATCCATCCATCCATCCATCATCCATCCATCGTCCATCCATCCATCCATCATCCATCCATCCATTAACCCATCCATCCATCCATCCATCCATCATCCATCCATCATCCATCCATCCATCCATCATCCATCCATCCATCATCCATCCATCGTCCATCCATCCATCCATCATCCATCCATCCATCATCCATCATCCATCCATCCATCATCCATCCATCGTCCATCCATCCATCCATCATCCATCCATCCATCATCCATCCATCGTCCATCCATCCATCCATCATCCATCCATCGTCCATCCATCCATCCATCATCCATCCATCCATCATCCATCATCCATCATCCATCCATCATCCATCCATCCATCGTCCATCCATCATCCATCCATCATCCATCCATCATCCATCCATCATCCATCCATCATCCATCCATCATCCATCATCCATCCATCCATCCATCCATCCATCCATCATCCATCCATCCATCCATCCATCATCCATCCATCATCCATCCATCATCCATCCATCATCCATCCATCATCCATCGTCCATCCATCCATCCATCATCCATCCATCATCCATCCATCATCCATCATCCATCCATCATCCATCCATCCATCATCAATCCATCCATCATCCATCCATCCATCATCCATCATCCATCCATCCATCCATCCATCCATCCATCCATCCATCCATCCATCCATCCATCATCCATCCATCCATCCATCCATCCATCCATCCATCCATCATCCATCCATCATCCATCCATCATCCATCCATCCATCCATCATCCATCATCCATCCATCCATCCATCCATCCATCCATCCATCCATCCATCCATCATCCATCCATCCATCATCCATCCATCATCCATCCATCCATCATCCATCCATCCATCCATCCATCATCCATCCATCATCCATCCATCATCCATCATCCATCCATCATCCATCATCCATCCATCCATCCATCCATCATCCATCATCCATCCATCCATCCATCATCCATCCATCATCCATCCATCATCCATCCATCCATCCATCATCCATCCATCCATCCATCATCCATCCATCCATCCATCATCCATCCATCATCCATCCATCGTCCATCCATCCATCCATCCATCCATCATCATCCATCCATCCATCCATCCATCCATCATCCATCCATCATCCATCCATCCATCATCCATCCATCCATCCATTAACCCATCCATCCATCCATCCATCATCCATCCATCCATCCATCATCCATCCATCCATTAACCCATCCATCCATCCATTAACCCATCCATCATCTATCCATCCATTAACCCATCCATCATCCATCCATCCATCCATCCATCCATTAACCCATCCATCCATCCATCATCCATCCATCCATCCATCCATCCATCCATCCATCATCCATCCATCCATCCATCCATCATCCATCCATCCATCCATCCATCCATCATCCATCCATCCATCCATCATCCATCCATCATCCATCCATCATCCATCCATCCATCCATCCATCATCCATCCATCCATCCTCCATCCATCCATCCATCCATCCATCCATCCATCATCCATCCATCCATTAACCCATCCATCATCCATCCATCCATTAACCCATCCATCCATCCATCCATCATCCATCCATCATCCATCCATCCATCATCCATCCATCCATTAACCCATCCATCCATCCATCATCCATCCATCCATTAACCCATCCATCCATCATCCATCCATCCATTAACCCATCCATCCATCCATTAACCCATCCATCATCCATCCATCCATTAACCCATCCATCATCCATCCATCCATCCACCATCCATCCATCCATGCATCCATCCATCAATCCATCATCCATTAACCCATCCGTCCATCCATCCATCCATCCATCATCCATCCATCATCCATCCATCCATTAACCCATCCATCCATCCATCCATCCATCATCCATCCATCATCCATCCATCCATTAACCCATCCATCCATTAACCCATCCATCCATCCATCCATCCATCATCCATCCATCCATTAACCCATCCATCCATCCATCCATCCATCCATCATCCATTAACCCATCCATCCATTAACCCATCCATCATCCATCCATCCATCAATCATCCATCCATCCATCCATCCACCCATCCATCCATCCATTAACCCATCCATCCATCCATCCATCCATCATCCATCCATCCATTAACCCATCCATCCATTAACCCATCCATCCATTAACCCATCCATCCATTAACCCATCCATCCATTAACCCATCCATCCATCCATCCATCCATTAACCCATCCATCCATTAACCCATCCATCCATTAACCCATCCATCCATCCATCATCCATCCATCATCCATCCATCCATCCATCCATTAACCCATCCATCCATTAACCCATCCATCCATCCATCATCCATCCATCATCCATCCATCATCCATCCATCATCCATCCATCCATTAACCCATCCATCCATTAACCCATCCATCCATTAACCCATCCATCCATCCATCCATCCATCCATCCATCCATTAACCCATCCATCCATTAACCCATCCATCCATCCATCATCCATCCATCATCCATCCATCCATTAACCCATCCATCCATCATCCATCCATCATCCATCCATCATCCATCCATCCATTAACCCATCCATCCATCCATCCATCCATCCATCCATCCATCCATCCATCATCCATCCATCCATTAACCCATCCATCCATCCATCCATCCATCCATCATCCATCCATTAACCCATCCATCCATTAACCCATCCATCATCCATCCATCCATCATCCATCCATCCATCCATCCATCATCCATCCATCATCCATCCATCCATCCATCCTTCCATTAACCAACCCATCCGTCCATCCATCCATTCGTCCGTCCATCCGTCCATCCATCCATCCATCATCCATCCATCCATCCATCCATCCATCCATCCATCCATCCTCATACTTACATCCAGCATGGCTCTAATGCGATGATCGGAGTTAATTTGCTCCCGCAGCTGAAACCAAAGACATAATAAAGCAAACGGTGAATGAAGGAAGGAACTCTGCGTGGCTGTGCTCGTTAGCCGCATGCTAACACTAGCCTAGCTAGCTTACCGTGGACTTTTTATGTAACATTTCTTTAGTTTTGGCGTCCATCAGCCGCTCCTTCTCCTCGTGGTATCGCCGCTGCTGTTCCAGGATGGTCTCCATGGTCGCTGCCTGCCTCACAGTTAGCTCACAGTTAGCTCACAGCGTTAGCCACCGGAGCAGCTACGATTGTTTTCAACGGCGGATGGACTGAACAGCGGTCCGTGCTTTAAATCAGTGCGCGGGAAACATCGACCGAAGAATAGTTCCGCTGACAAAACGACGATAAAGTTAACATCATAGATATATATGGTTAATATATAGCATCAGTTTGACAAAAACTATTAATTTTATACATTTTTGCTTCTTTATTTACCTTGTTAAAAAATATTCTCGGGTCATTCCATGAAAACTGTTAAGTTTGGGTCCATAACATTCAAAGAGAAGTAGGAAGCATAATAAAACTGTCAGTAATACTTTAAGTGTCTAAAGCCATTGATTCAAGTTTAGTTGGTAGCATGAGGTCAAATAAAACCGAATAATAAATATATATTTTGCACATTTATAACTTTTATGTTAAACTGCTAACATTTTCTCATGTCCGCTCTGACCATTTTTCTCATTCGTGTAATGTAAAACTTAAGAAATATGAAATAAATCTCAAAAATTTTTTGTTGTTATGGTTACAAATACTTTCCTCTTAATAAGAAATGTGTTAATTATATTAAAATGGCATATTTTTTTTATTGAAATAGCATGATTTTTCTATGTCCATTAATTTCATATTCCACCACGTCACACCATTATTATTTTGAGCCAAAATGCAATACACTTCCTAGAAGTGACATCACTAACATGAAGTGACATCACTAACATTAAGTGACATCACTTACACGAAGTGACATCACTAACATGAAGTGACATCATTCAAGAGTTTGAAGAAGACAAGTCCAAACAATGGTGAGTTCTGCTTTTTCTTTAAGAACATTTTTGGTACATTTTTCCTTTAAAATCCTGTTAAGCATAGCATATCCACCCTGTCACACACAAAAAGTGGGGAAACAATTTGTTAATCAAATTTTTTAATTATATTTGTATTAATCATTGATTTTTCATTGTACTTTAATGCTAACGGCATCATCAGGTTTTATCGTATCCAGAAATTGAGCCATATTTGCTTTAGAGTGGATTCATTGTGATGGTGGCAACGTTCTTCATATTGAATTAGTATGAAATATTAAAATCTCTTTAACACTTTCCTCCCCCAGCATCAAATTGAACAGTTTGTTCTGTGTTATCAGGAGGATATTGGAGGATGAAAATGAGTCCGTTAAATGCAGCGGAAAATCAGAGGCTCTGTCGGTCACGCCGTAATGTAGATCCTGAAAGGAGGCAAAAGTATTTAGAATGTGAGTGAGGGAGATAGAGAAGGGATATAGAGAAAGGCACAAAGACAAGGATACAAGATTTAAGGGAGAGAGCCAAGCATCAGAAATGGAAAAAGTGGAGGAAGCATAAAAGTAGAAGGAAAGAGAGGAAAAACTTCCCCCCACCACAAAGTCCAGACTCTGATCCACAGAGACAGCAGCAGTCAAGGTCAGATTGGTAGAACTCAAAGACACATTTGTCACTGATGGTTGAAGGTATAGAGTACAGGATTTATGGGAAAAATGTAAATGTAATCTTTAGCTAGTCTTTTAGTAACTAGAATTACCAGAGACTAATAATGGCTTTTAGGTTTTAGGTGAGGGTGAAACCTTCATTGGGTTATGTTCCTCCATGGAGGCTGCCATGTTTCTATAGGGGCTGTTTCCTATGGAGGGGTGAAGGGAGGAATATCTATTGTGAGAACCTGCAGACTCAACTTTAGATGCCACATAATCCTATGGACTGGCCCTTTAAAATAGATTAAATGTTCATTTTATTCTTACAGGCAACAAGAACCAGGGAAGAGATTGGAACACTATATGGAGCACTGTGTGGAACACTGTGTGGAACACAGAACTCCTGCAGGTCCAACAGCCAACATGATGAAACTCCCAGTCCCTCCATAAAAACCTGTATCTAAGTTCAGTTCAGTTCAGTTTATTTATATAGCGCCAAATTCACAACACATGTCATCTCAAGGCACTTTACAGTTCAACCAGATCATACAGTCAAATTGATACAAAGTTTTCTATCTAAGGAAAACCAGTTGATTGCATTGACTCATTGACTCAAATACAATCCCCCACACTAAGCATGCTTGTAGCGACAGTGGAGAGGAAAAACTCCCTTTTAACAGGAAGAAACCTCCAGCAGAACCAGGCTCAGTGTGAGCGGCCATCTGCTGAGGCCGACTGGGGTTCAAGGAGACAGAAACAGAGATACAAAAAGCAGCTGTAAAAGGCGGCCCCGTCCAGGAAACACACAGCCAGGCAGACGAGCTCCAAGGCAGCTCCCATGCCAGAGGACGAAGAGAGCACATCCACTCAGTCACGGCCAGAGAAACAGGACCACACTGGAAAACAGGCCGATCTCCAACATCTATAAACAAGGGTGTTGATAGAAGCAGCACAGCTGATGTTTCTTTCCAGGATGACGTCACAGCCAAACAGGAACAGACGAGGCAAAGCTACTCTGAGGAAAAGCAGAGAGAGCAGAAGGTTAGAGATTGAACTAACAGATTCTGCAGAATAGGAGAACAGAGAGAGAATGAAGCAGAATGATGAAATGGGGGTCCCTATGTCCTCCAAAAGTCTAAGCCTATAGCAGCATAACTATAGAGATAGCTCAGGATAACCTGAGCCACCCTAACTATAAGCTTTATCAAAAAGGAACGTTTTAAGCCTAGCCTTAAAAGTAGACAGGGTGTCTGCCTCACGGACTAAAACTGGTAGTTGGTTCCACAGGAGAGGAGCCTGATAACTAAAAGATCTGCCTCCCATTCTACTTTTAGAAATTCTAGGAACCACTAGTAAACCTGCAGATTGAGAGCGAAGTGCTCTGTTAGGAACATAAGGAACAATCAGATCTCTGATATAAGATGGAGCTTGGCCATTTAAGGCTTTATATGTGAGAAGGAGGATTTTAAATTCTATTCTTGATTTAACAGGAAGCCAATGAAGAGAAGCCAGGATAGGCGAGATATGATCTCTCTTTTTAATTTTCATCAGAACCCTGGCTGCAGCATTTTGGATCAGCTGAAGGCTTTTAACTACAGTTTGTGGACTTCCTGATAGTAAAGAATTACAATAGTCCAGCCTTGAAGTAACAAATGCATGGACTAGTTTCTCAGCATCACCCCTGGACAGGATATTTCTAATTTTTGCAATGTTCCTCAGATGAAAGAAGGAAATTCTAGAAACCTCTTTGATCTGGGATTTAAATGACAGGTCCTGATCAAAAATAACACCAAGATTTTTTACTTTATTATCTGAAATCAGTTTAATCCCATCCAAATGAAGTGACTGGCTAATCAGTTTCTTTTTCAGAGACTCTGGTCCAAAGACTATAACTTCTGTTTTATCTGCATTCAGAAGCAGAAAGTTAAGAGTCATCCAGGTTTTTATGTCTTCAAGACATGCCTGTAATCTATGTAATGGGTTAGCTTCATCTGGATTTATAGCCAGATATAGCTGGGTATCATCAGCATAACAGTGGAAATTAATCCCATGCTGTCTAATAATTCTACCAATTGGGAGCATGTATAAAGTAAAGAGAATTGGTCCTAGCACTGATCCCTGTTGTACTCCACAGGTAACCTTTGAGCGTGTTGAAGATCTATCATTAACATGAACAAACTGAATTCGATCAGATAGATAAGATTTAAACCAGTCTAGTGCTGTTCCTTTAATTCCAACAAAATATTCAAGTCTTTCTAAAAGAATATTATGGTCAACTGGATCAAATGCAGCACTAAGATCCAACAGGACGAGCACAGATACAAGTCCATTATCTGAGGCCATGAGAATATCATTAGTGACTTTCACCAGAGCTGTTTCAGTGCTATGATGAGCTCTAAAGCCAGACTGAAACTCTTCAAAAAGTTCATTATGGTGTAAGTGATCGCAAACTTGTTTGGTAACTACTTTCTCAAGAATTTTGGATAAGAAAGGAAGATTGGATATAGGTCTATAATTGACCAAGTCATCTGGGTCAAGAGACGGTTTCTTAAGCAGAGGTTTAATTACAGCAACCTTAAAAGCTTTAGGTACATATCCCTGTAACAGAGATAGATTAATCACATCTAAAATGGAGGAGGAGATCAAAGGGAATACCTCCTTAAATAACCTGGTTGGAACTGGATCCAACATACAAGTTGAAGGCTTAGATGAAGACAATAATTTTGCTAATTCAGAGAGTTCAACTGGATCAAAGCAGTCTAAACCCGGTTCAGATTCCATGACTACCTCAGGTACAATCGCGGATAGAGGAGTGCTTATGATCTTATTTTTAATAAGATCAATCTTATTTATAAAGAATCCCATAAAATCATTGCTGCTAAGAGCAGGTGGAATGGACGGTTCAACAGAGCTATGGCTCTGGGTGAGTTTGGCAACTGTATTAAAAAGAAATCTAGGATTATTCTTATTCTCCTCTATTAATGAGGAGAAGTATGCTGCTCTTGCTTTACAAAGGGTCCTCTTGTACAGCAGTAAACCATTTTTCCAGACTAGGAAGGACTCTCGCAGGCCTGTGGAGCGATATTTTCTCTCCAGTTTCCTAGCATTTTGCTTCAAAGTACGCAGCTCTGCATTAAACCAAGGAGCAAGCTTTCTATTTTTAACGGTTTTCATTTTCGAAGGAGCTGCGTTGTCTAAGGCAATACGCAGAGAACTAGCAACCCCATCAACAAAATCATCAACCTGTGAAGGGGAATAAGCTAAGCTTTTGCACTCTGCAGCACTGCTCAGTGACACAGAGGAGAGAGAAAGTGAAGCAGATTCTTTAAAATTTTTAACTGCACTATCTGATAAAGATCTACTAAAATTGAACCTTCTTTTGGGGGAGGAGAACTCTGTTAAAGTAATCCTGAAGGTTATTAGAAAGTGGTCAGAGAGGACAGGGTTGTGAGGAAATACTGTTATTTCTTCACATTCTATGCCGTATGTCAGCACAAGATCCAAAGTATGAAGATGAGAATGCGTGGGACTATTCACATTTTGAACAAAGCCAACAGTGTCTAAGATAGCATTAAAGGCTGCTCTTAAGCTATCGCCTTCAATGTCAGCATGGATGTTAAAATCTCCCACT